CATTTAAATCTCATTAAAGATTTGTGAATTGACAACTTATGAATTTTTATATGCAAATGCAGACATCACTGCAATGATCAAATTCTTAAAATATAACTATGAGGAAGCGGATCAACAGTACAATTAGGTATGTAGATGCTTTTCTGCAGCCTTTTAAATTTCTGATTTAATTTTTTTTCGAGAAATAGAATAAATTATATGTAATATGCTGTTTGGTGGTTCTTCCCATCCCCACTTAACCATGTTCATATTAAATGCATGTCCTTTAATTTTTTAATATTGTGTACAACCAACTTTGAATTTGGATTATGGCCTTGGAAGTTTTCTTTGTTTTCACTTTATATAATTTGGTATTTCATCAATTGCACGCTAAAAGGTTTACTTTTCTTTGTTATCAAATGGGACATCATCAAAGCCTGCTAATCAAGATTATCTTCTAATCTCTGAAAATGACAAGAATGACTATGACTGGTATTTTTAGTATAAACTTTAGATCATATGTTGTCGTATAATATCATAACACATTCCTTTGTGGCTAAAATATATAATTTTGGATTTTGATATTCTCATCTAGAAACTTTATTTTAGGCAGAAAAAAATCGATGTTCAATGAACAAAACAGACGAAAATTAAGGCACAAAACAGCGAAGCGAAGCAAAGGCACGGAACGCTTCACGAAATGGAAGAATCTCAAAAGCTGGATCCGCGTCAAAGTCCGCGTCTAGACGCGAAGGCATCCGAGTCAAAGTTCGTGTCTAGACGCGAAGGCAGACGCGGATTCCAGCTCTCCCATCCGAAGTTGGATCAAAGAATTGTGAAATGAAAAGCGCTCTAAGAAAGGTTGCTTTGACGAAAATGAAGAAACTGAATAGCATATGCAGCCTCTAACAATTTATTGGATCAGTCAGTATGTAAGTGGCATTTTATTTGAGAGTTCAAAATGTCAAGTGTGTCACGAGGTGGTAGTGTTTCTGGTGTCCCTGACGAAAAAGAATTTTTTTTCTCAACTATCAACAACGGTGATTCATGGAAGCTACTGTATAGAATTTGTCTTTACTTGAATCCATGTTCAATCACTGTACTCTTTGACTGGGGTATAAAAGTTGTTAATCCAAAAGAAAAAAGTAATCTAACAGGGAAAATTTTACATTAGGTAGTTTTTAATGGAGCAATGTCAGTGTATATTTTTGTGAAACTTTGATAGTGAAAATTCTGATAAGAAAAAATAATTGGCAGTGAATATTTATTTGAAGTTTCTATTTGTTCTGCTCATTGTTAATCAACTAGATTACGTTTCATCTTTTTCCCTCGGCAGTTCTTCAAAATTAAAAATAACTTTGTGAGAAGAATTTGGAGAAAAGTTTAACCTTATCTACACGATGGCTCTTGCCCTTACATTGTCATATTCATTTCTACGACAGTTAAAGAATTCAGTGGTAATTGGTTTATATTTACTGATCATCGCTACGTATTTTACTACTTATGTACTGAATATATACTAAAGTTTGGTTTTTTATTGCATTCACTGTTAATAGGTGAGGTTACTTTCACCACCACATCTGCAATCAAAATAAATGTAATTCTTCAAATAGATTACATATCATCGTTCATTAAAGTTTGAATCCATATCTGTTCGAGTACTGAATATCGAAATCCTTAATGTCAAGAGCATTCCCATTGAGGAAGAGATGTTTCTCAATAGGATGACCAGTAATGTGTTTTTGGAGACTGACTCGAGTGCGGAAATACAAGTGAATTCAGTATGGCTTCAATTTAAGGCTTATAAAAATGGTGCACAATTTTCAAACTTTATGAACATGAATTTTACTTCACATCATTCTGTCGGGAAGAAGTTCAAAATATCGCGTATGTCATATTATAGCACTTACTCCAATCAGTTAGTTGTTGCTTCTTTTTTTTAATGCTTGTCGTTCTTCCATACAATATCAATCCCTTTTGGCCATAGGCTATCAGTAAAGGAAAAATTAAATTCATAATCTAATGCAAGTCTATGGCCACAAACCAAGTTGTCTTTGCCAATTGCTCAATCAAACTAACTTCATCTCTCTTCCTATAAACACCACATTGCACTTAAGTTGCCACTTATTTGCGGCATGCATGTTGACATCTCTACATGCTGGGTATTTAACAATAAAGTAACGTATATATTACGAAAAACTATCCCTTCTTTTAAATTTAAGTTCATTACTAATCCATCCTGTTTTATACTGTCATTTTATGAAGGACTACCTCCTACGTCAACAACAACAGAAGTTTTCTTTGGAATAAAAAGGAATTCAATTGTTGCTGGTATGAAGTTCTTCAACTGTCTTATTTATGGTTATATTATGTAATAAATAGCATGCGCAAATCCATATCTCATTGTTACTTCTCATATATTTGTATAATTTTTTATATACATCTTCATGAAGATATTTTTTTAAACTCATTTCATAATTTCTGCCCTTAATGTTTTTACAGCTTTGAGCGTCTTCACTAAAAAAATAACATCTCTTTGCACAAAATTCTAAACCATGATCCACTTGTGCCATTAGAAAGAGAACTTCTGAAACCACAATTAATACAAAAATCAGATCCTAAGTCTTTGTAGATTAATATGAATATGGAATAACTTATTTTGTGGCTGCTAAACATTATCGAATACGTTGGTACAATAAATGACATTGCGGGGCGAGCAAGAGTCCTGTTGGTCCTTCCTGATGCATTGTTAGATGCATTTTTGATCTTATGGATTTTCACTTCTCTTTCCAAGACACTGGAGCAGCTTCAGGTATCATCTTACTGTTTGTATTGAATTTGTGTACAAATACATTTTGCATTTGTCTCATCTCCTTTTTCTCATAAAATATCTGATTCTCACAAGTTTTGTTTTCATCAGGCAAAGAGGAGTTCAGTGAAGTTGGATATTTACAGACAATTTTCAAATGCATTAGCAATCACTGTCATTGCTTATTCTCCAAAGTTTTAACAGTCAAAGTATCAATGCACCTGTTCAATATTTTTTTCCTTTTGCCTTGCATTTCAGCAGCGCTTGTGGAGACAATATCACCTAAGACATCCAATTTTTTGGAATTTTTGGCTTTCTTAATATTTCTATTGTAATCTTCTTGCAAAGGAGCATTTGATGATCACAGTGCTAATTTCAATACATTCAATGGTTCATAAAAATGCTTCTTTGTGTCTATTGTATTTTTAAAAAAATATATTTTTTATATTATCCGCACATCGCGCGGGTACGTATACTAGTTATAATTAATATGCCATTTTCTTTGAAAAAAATATTTGGTGGTAAGGGAAAATTTAAAATTGGTGAATCTAGTGGCCAAGCTATTACTCCTCCCCCGGCTCCCCGACCCAGACCTGTTACCCGTCCTCCTCCACCTATTATTCTTGATAGTAATAACCCTTGTTTTCAATTTACCGATAGTCAATTTTGCCATGATATTGCACCAGGTCAACAATTAAATGATAAATATATGAATGTTCTTTATAATAATACAACTATCGATGAAAATGATGAGGAAAATAATGATTTAGATGAAACGCAACCGGATTTAGATGATACATCTACTAGTCATGTTGTTAACCCAACTGATAATAATCCAAATGATGCCCTGCCTGACCCTCCTGTAGTAACCCCTACTTTTAATAGACAACCTTCTAAACGGCAAGAAACATCTCTTGTTTTGCACTTTTTTACTTAACTAAGAAATCAAAATAAGGCTAAGTGTAAAACTTGTGGGACTTTGATGGCTCATAAATTGTCACGACCCAAAAACCCGCACTAGTCGTGATGGCGCCTCTCGTGAAGACAAGGTCAGCCAACTAACCCAAATAGTCCCTTTCAAAGTAGTTAAACATGAATGAATAGCAAAATACGACTTAAGGACATTAATTAACGAAGTTTACAACCCAACACAGCCCGACCGGGGTGTCACAAGTCACGAGCATCTAGAGAAGTCTAAATACAACTACAGGGCCAACAATATACGGAATAAAATTTAGAACCAAAGGAAGTAATCCGGTGCCGCGAACGCTGGCGGTCACTCTGCTCAGCTACGATAGCAATACCTTCAACCAGCTCAAAACCCTTTACCGGGTGAACAATACCTGCATCTGCACGCGAGGTGCATGGAGTAAAGTGAGTACTCCAACTCAGTGAGTAATAAAAGTAAATAATAACTGAGCAGCAAGAAATCACGTAAAGCAACCAACATGCTATACAGAAGCCGGGTGCAATTTTCTGAGAAAAACAGTGAAATCTGTGAAATCTTTAGAAATACCTTGGCTCAGTTCAAATCTCCTAAAAAAATGATCTTTTCAGTGATTACGAAAACGATTTCAAAACAGTTAGTGCTGATACGCACAGAAAATCCGCCCTTCGGGCACAAATACCACGGTATAACAGGTAAAGAGGCAAATAAGTATGCAAGATGAGCACATAAAAGTTCGCCCCTCGGGAAATATCTCAAAACAGTACCGGCCCCTCGGGCATGATTTATGTTCCTGGTCAGTCATTGTTACCTGACCGGTCAGCCATTGTTACCTGACCAAAACGCGTATTACAGTGCCATTGTTACCACTGGTCAGCTATTGTTACCTGACTGGTCAGTCATTGTTACCTGACCAAAACACGTATGACAGTGTCATTGTTACCACTGTCCAATTCTAAATGGGTACCCGCGCTCACTGTGGGTGTGTAGACTCCGGAGGGGCTCCTACANTATGGTCATGGAGGAACTGGAAAGACATTTATTTGGAGGACTTAGTCTTCGGCCATAAGATCTAAAGGGGATATTGTGCTAACAGTTGCGTCCAGCGGAATTGCATCTCTTTTGTTACCAGGCGGTCGAACAGCTCATTCGAGATTTGCAATCCCACTCAACGCAACTGAAGATTCAACATGTAATATAAAACAGCGTAGTCCTCTAGCAAAATTGATTGTCGAGACAAAGTTAATTATTTGGGATGAAGCACCAATGATGCATAGATATTGTTTTGAAGCTCTTGATAGAACTCTAAGAGATATTCTTAGATTTAAAGATGCATCCATTGGATCGACATTTGGCGGAAAAATAGTTGTTCTTGGTGGTGACTTTAGACAAATACTTCCAGTCATTACAAAAGGTACTAGACAAGATATTGTTAATGCTGCCCTTAATTCTTCATATTTATGGAATCATTGTCATGTCTTAAAGCTAACAAAAAATATGAGGTTGGAAGGAAATCAGGTAGAGTCACATTTGAATGATCTAAGACAATTTTCTGATTGGGTATTAGCAATTGGTGATGGTATGATTGAAAATTTTGTTGATGGTATTGAAAAAGTTCATATCCCTGATGTTCTTCTCATAAATAATTGTGATGATCCAATTTCTGTAATTGTGGAAGGTATATATCCAGATTTTTAAGTCATTGCAGTGATATAACATACCTACAACAAAGAGGAATTCTTGCTCCCACTCTTGACATGGTTGAATCAATCAATGAACACATGGTTTCACTAAACCAAAGTCAAGAAAAAATATTTTTGAGTTCCGATACAATCTGTATGTCAAACGATGCTTTTACAGGTTTGGAACACGTACATACACCTGAATTCCTAAACATATTAAGTGTTCTGGAATTCCAAATCATGCTATCACTTTGAAAGTGGGTGTTCCAGTGATGCTATTGAGAAATATAGACCAATCTTTAGGGCTATGTAATGGAACAAGGTTATTCATCACTAGACTTGGAAATCGGGTTATTGAAGCAAAAGTTTTATCGGGGAATATGGCTGGAGAAAAGGTATTCATTCCGAGAATGTCGTTGATTCCATCTGATGCAAGAATACCTTTTAAGTTCCAGCGACGGCAATTTCCAATAGTTGTATCTTTTGCAATGACTATAAACAAAAGTCAAGGACAATCTTTATCTCATGTTGGGTTATATTTGAAGAAACAAGTCTTCACACATGGACAGCTTTATGTTGCTCTATCACGAGTTACAAACAGAAGTGGATTAAAGATTTTGATTTATGATGATGATGGAGAAATTTCAAATGAGGCAACAAATAAAGTGTACAAAGAAGTATTCCGTAATTTACTTGGACAATGAAAGCAAATCTGATATGAAAGTTCATAACTTATGTGTTTCTCATGCTCCTGTCTTTGCTAAACCATATTGGAAATAAGCTTCAGAAACAATAGTTGAAAACTTCAATTGGTATGGTTATCGGGTATATTACATTAATTTTTATTATTTTGAGTTACTGTGAGCTAATAAATTCTCTGTTTTTAATATACTAACAAACAACTTACAAACTATTTTACAACAGAGTTCTCGCAATGGATGTTGAAGTTTACAAAATAATTGCTCTGTTGCCGAAGGTGGAATAAAAGAAGAAGAAAAGACTCTACTGGTAAAATTAACACTTAATCACGTTCCGCTTGATTTTGGTTTTGTCACACATTTAAATATGATTAAAGATTTGTGAATTGACAACTTATGAGTTTTTATATGCAAATGCAGACATCACTGCAGTGTGGGCTACAAGAAAGGACTTTAGGAATGGTGTTTTTAAGAAGTAGATAAAGACTTGCAATGTTTCATGGGATGCATCGTAGCGAAAAGGAGAAGAATGTTCAAATTCCTAAACATAACTCTGAGGAAGCGGATCAACAATTAGGTATGTAGATGCTTTTTTGCAGCCTTTTAAATTTCTGGTTTCAAATTTTTTTGAGAAATAGAATAAATTATATGTAATATGCCGTTTGGTGGTTCTTCCTTGTGACGACCCGACCGGTTGTCTCATGAGTTACCGGTCCGTTTCCCCCATTTCTGCTCCTATTTGCTTTGTTCATCTGTGTTTGAGGTACGGGTTGGTCGGATTGAATCCGGATTAGTTTTGGAAAGGTTTGAGACACTTAGTCTCTTTTAAGAAGGCTTAAGTTGGAAAAGTCAACCGGATGTTGACTTATGTGTTATAGGGCTCGGATGTGAGTTTCGATGGTTCGGTTAGCTTCAGGAGGTGATTTGTGACTTAGGAGTGCGATCGGAATAGGTTTTGGAGGTCCAGAGTAGAATTAGGCTTGAATTGGCGAAGTTGATATTTTGTCGATTTCCGGTTGGTAGCTGAGATTTTGATCCGGGGGTCGGAATGGAATTCCGAGAGTTGTAATAGCTTTGTTGTGTCATTTGGGATGTGTGTGTAAAATTTCAGGTCATTCGAACGTGGTTTGGTTGGGTGTTTGATCAAAAGCGTATTTTGGAAGATTTCAGAAACTTAGGCTTGAATCCGATGTGTTTTGAGTGATTTGATGTTGTTTGAGGTGTTTTGATGATTGGAACAAGTTTGAATAAGGTTTTATGATGTGTTGGTGCCTTTGGTTGAGGTCCCGGGGGCCTCGGGTGAGTTTCGGATGGTCAATCGGATCATTTTGTGCCTTAAAAGATTACAGGTTTGAAGCTTCAGGTGTTGCAGAGAATTACCCTTCGCGATCGCGAAGGGTGTGTCGCGATCGCATAGTAGGATTTGAGGAGGGCTGCCAGAGTGTTCTTCGCGTTCGCGATGTGGGTCCCGCGATCGCATAGAGTGAGGGGTTTGTGTATTGCGTTCGCGTGCGTGTGGTCGCGATCGCGTAGAGTCCTTTGGTCAACTGGTCTGAGGTCATGATTGTTCATCGCGTAAGGGTTGTCGCGTTCGCGAAGGTGTAGGAGGCAGAAGCATCGCGTTCGCATGGTCCTGGTCGCGTTCGCGTAGTGAAATTTTTGGGAGTTTAGAATTTGTTCTTCGCGATCGCGGCAAGTCATTTCAGTCGCGATATTGGGTCTATTTTCACCCATTGTTGATCATTTTGAGAGCTTCTTGGTGGAGATTTAAGAGCGATTCAAGGAGAAATGCTTGGAGGTAAGAATTTCAGACCTAAAACTCAATTCTATTGTGAAATCCACCTAGAAATTCATGGAAACTTAAGCTAAAAATGGAAGAACTAGGGCTTGGAATTTTGGACTTTTAATTTGGGATTTGAAGGGTCAATTGTGGACGGATTTTGATGTTTTTGGTATGTATGGACTCGTGGGGAGATAAGGAACCTATTGGTGTAAAAATTTCTGAGTTTCAAGATGTGGGCCAGGGGCTCGGGTTTTGCTAATTTTGGGATTTTTGGTATTTTTCGATTGTTTTCGCTTGGGCTTTGTTCCCTTAGCATATTGTGACGTATTCGTTCTGATTTTGGATAGATTCGACGCACGTGGAGTCGATTCGAGGAGCAAAGGCGTCGCGAGCTAGGGATTTAGCCGGTTCGAGGTGTGTAATGATTGTAAATGATGCTCTAAGGGTTTGAAACCCCGGACATGCACATCGTAGTGCTATATTGAGGTGAGACACGCGCTTGACGACGAGCGTGGGGACATTTACTATTGGGGATTGTGACTTGGTCCGTCCCGATTGATGATTTTACCGCGTATTTGATTGAGACTTATTTGTTATCATCATAACTTGGGCTGATTGCCATATTTGGGCTCCGTGCCAACTATTTGAACCCTTCGGGGATTTTTATTACTATTTCCTCACTGTTTGACTTATTACTTGAACTCAGTCCTGATAATGCTACTGTTTTTACTATTTAGCCATTCTTTACCAGATTTTTAAGACTTAAATGATATTTTAAATGATGTTTGGGCTGAAAACACTGTTTTACTATTGCCCGAGGGGCTTGTGATGATTTTTTGGACTGAGTAAGGCCGAGGGCCTATAATGTGAGGGACACTGATACTAATTTGAGGCCGAGGGCCTGAGTTACATATATGACACGAGGTGGCTTGATTGATATGAGGCCGAGGGCCTAGATTGATGCCACGAGATGGCTTGTGATTGCGCTTAGGCCGTAAGGGGCCCCTCCAGGAGTCTGCACACCCCCAGTGAGTGCGTGTACCCATTTGTGACATGAGATTGAGCCCGAGGGGCTGGCACTGTACTGAGATATGGCCCGAGGGGCGGATTTTGTGGATACTGAGCCCGAGGGGCGAACTTCTGTCTGTTACTTTACATTATTCACTATTTTACCTGTTGAAAGGGATTTTTGCTGGGTTTTTACTGCCTTACTGTTTTCAAACGATGTTATACTGCTTCATTATGGAATACTTTGTGCTTTATGTGATTTCTTTTCTTCAGTCATTATTTATATTTATTACTCATTGGGTCGGAGTACTCGCATTACTCCCTGCACCGTGTGAGCAGATTCAGGCGTTGTTGGTCTCGCTTCGGAGTATTGATTCCTCCAGTCCAGGCGGTGTTTCGGAGACTACGAGGTAGCTATTGGCGTCCGCAGCCCCCGTGCCTCCCTTATCTAGTTACTTTCTATGTTCTTCAGATAGTTATACCAGATACTGTATTTAGTAGACTTGTATCAGGATTCGTAGTTGCTCATGACTTGTGACACCTCGGTCAGGACTGTGTCGGGCTGGGTTCCGCATTTGCTTAACCGTATTTCCGCTATTTCGTGTTATTAGACCATGTATGAACTAACATTATGTTATTTAACTATTTAAAAATGAGATTTGGTTCAATTGGCTGGCCTTGTCTTCACGAGAGGCGCCATCACGACCGGTTTCGGGGTTAGGGTCGTGACAAGTTGGTATCAGAGCCTAGGTTACATAGGTCTCGCGAGTCATGAGCAGGTTTAGTAGAGTCTCGCGGATCGGTACGGAGACGTCTGTATTTATCCTCGAGAGGCTGCAGAACCTTTAGGAAAAACTTTATATTCTTGAAATTCTTATCGTGCGAACTTGTTGGTCCGAGTAATAAACTTCTGTTATTCTATTCTCTCACAGATGGTGAGGACACGAGCTACCGGACGAGGTGGACGACCACCAGTGCCACCAGCTGTGGCCACCAGAGGCCGTGGACGTGGTCGTGGTCGTAGCAGAGGCAGAGCAGCGAGGGCAGCACCTGTTGATCCACCAACTGCCCCAGTTCAGGACCAGGTTCCAATTGTGGACCCTCCAGCAGCACCAGCTGTGCCTATCGTGATTTCGGGTCTTCAGGAGGCCTTGGCTCAGATATTATCAATTTGAACTGGCCTAGCTCAGGTGGTTTCAGCCACTACAGCCGCAGCTACCTCACAGGTCGGGAGAGGCAGTCAGACTCCCGCCGCCCACACGCCTGAGCAGGTCGTGTAGGGGCTTCAGATGCCGGGGGCACATCCAGCCCAGCCGGTCGCAGCTGCTCAGGACTATGTAGTTCCTGTCATGCCAGAGGATGAGCAACGTAGGTTGGAGAGATTTGGGAGACTTCAGCCTCCGACCTTCAACGGAGTTGAGGGCGAGGATGCCCAGGGCTTTCTAGACAAGTGTTAGAGGATGTTTCTTACAGCCGGTATCTTGGAGACCAGCGGGGTCGCTTTCACTGCTTATCAGTTTTCAGGACCTGCATTCACCTAGTAGGAGGATCTTGAGAGACGCAGGCCTGTTGGTGCAGCACCCTTATCCTAGCAGCAATTTTCCATTCTCTTTCTGGAGAAGTATGTACCGCAGTCTCGCAGGGAGGAGCTGCGTAGACAGTTTGAGTGGTTGCGTCAGGGAGACATGACCGTGTCAGAGTATGAGTTGAGATTCTCTGAGTTGGCTCGTCATGCCATCTGGTTGGTCCCGACAGATCGAGAGAGGATCAAGAGGTTTGTCGATGGTCTTACTTATCAGCTCTGTATCCTTATGACCAGGGAGAGGGTGACTGGTGCTAAATTCGAGGAGCTTGTGGATATTGCCAGGGAGATTGAGTCTGTCCGTCTCCAAGAGCGAGAGGAGAGGGAGGCCAAGAGGCCTCGAGGATCTGGTAGCTATAGTGGTGGTCCTTCGAGGGGCCAGTTCCCGCACGGCAGAGGCCGACAGTTCCATCAGGGTCAGTCTGATTGCTCAGGTTATCAAGGAGCATCATCGGGTCATGGTTCCCACAGTTCACACCAGGGCCATTCTTCACTTAGTGCCCTCCCAGCTCAGAGCTCATCTCGTGCTCCATCTGTACAGGGCTCTTCTACGCCGAGTGCATCTGCTGGTCACCCCGGTGCGAGGGGTTCCCATCAGTCCCCTTCTCCAGCACCTAGGATTTGTTATGAGTG